TTGTTGCTCTTCTCTGGACCTTCTCCAATTTCTTCCCATTCTGTATGCCTGAAACTGATTGTTCCTTTCTAAGTGGAGCACTTTGCATTTGTCCTTATTAAACTTCATCCTGTTTACCTCAGACCAATTCTCCAATTTGTCCAGATCATTTTGAATTATGACCCTGTCCTTCAAAGCAGTCGCAATCCCTCCCAAGTTGGTATCATCTGCAAACTTAATAAGCATACTCTCTATGCCAATATTTAAATTGTTGATGAAGATATTGAACAGAACCGGTCCCAAAACAGACCCCCACCCCTGCAGAACCCCACTTGTTATATCTTTCCAGCAGGATTGTGAACCATTAATAACTACACTCTGAGAATGGTTATCCAGCCAGTTATGCACCCACCTTATAGTAGTCCTATCTAAGTTGCATTTGCCTAGTTTATTGATAAGAATATCATGTGAGACTGTATCAAATGCCTTACTAAAGTCTAGGTATACCATGTCTACCACTTCTCCCTTATCCACAAGACTCGTTATCCTATAAAAGAATGCTATCAGATTGGTTTGACATGATTTGTTGTTTACAAATCCATGCTGGCTGTTCCCTACCACCTTATTATCTTCCAAGTGTTTGCAGATGATTTCCTTAATTACTTGATCCATTATCTTTCCTGGCTCAGAAGTTAAACTGACTGGTCTGTAGTTTCCTGAGTTATTCTTAGTTCCCTTTTTTAGATGGACACTATATTTGCCCTTTCCCAATCTTCTGGAATCTCTCCTGTCTTCCATGATTTTCCAAAGATGATAGCTAAAGGCTCAGATACCTCCTCTATCAGCTCCTTGAGTATTCTAGGATGCATTTCATCAGCCCTGGTGACCTGCAGACATCTAACTTTTCTAAGTGATTTTTAACGTGTTCTTTTTTTATTTTATCTTCTAAACCTCCCTCCTTCCCACTAGCATTCACTATGTTAGGCATTCCTTCATCAGACTTCTTGGTGAAGACTGAAACAAAGAAATCATTAAGCATCTCTGCCATTTCCAAGTTTCCTTATATCTCTGCCATTTCCAAGTTCCTTTTATCTATACTTTAAATCTCAGGCCTATCTCTACCAATTATTGATTGATAAGGTTTTCCCTGTGTTTGTCTTTCAAGTACTATGGAAGTATCACAGGGGTAGCCGTGTTAGTCTGAATCTGCAAAAGCGGCAAGAAGTCCTGTGGCACCTTATAGATTAACTGAAGTGTTGGAGCATAAGCTTTCATGGGCAAAGACCCACTTCATCTTTGCATCTGATTAAGTGGATCTTTGCCCATGAAAGCTTATGCTCCAACACTTCAGTTAGTCTATAAGGTGCCACAGGACTCTTCGCTGCTTTTGTCCTATGGGAGCTGCAATATTGTGCTGGTGGGAGGGGCAGCACAAGAAACAATTCTGTCCTCTCCAGCCCCCAGGCTAGCAGCATTCAGAGAGCTGCTCTGAGTAGCGTGTGGAGGGCAGGACAGGTAGGGAACCTGGCTGAGGCTCCTGCAGACTAAATCTGGTTGCTTGGAGGGCTGGATCCAGCCTGAGGCTGTATTTTGCATGCCCTTGATTAAGACTGACATCATGTGAGTCAGCAGAGGTGTGACAGGGAAACAGCATAAATTAATGGAGCTCAACTATGCCCACTTTACTGTTCAAATACCTTGGCAACTGAGTTATGGAAATGGATTACTTGAAAATGAGATATAGCCCAAACTGGGAAGTGTTGGAAAAGTGTGGAATAACATTTCAGAAGTTGTTTATGACAAGCATATCCCACTCAGATTGAAAGCCCAGGGTAAAGAGACAGCAGGTTCAATGTCCACAAATATTTAAATGAGATGTATCTGTGCAATAAAAAGAGTTACATGAAGAGAGATTGTGAAATGAGAGCATTATGACAGAAATCCAAATTATAAATGCAGGTGACAAAACGCAAAGAGTGCAATTTCAGTGGTTTAGACATAGAGGCTTGCAGACGAAGATGACTTTGGAAAGTAGCATGACAGAAAAGGGTACCTGGAAACAGATGCTGAGGAAATCTGAGGTAATGATAGTAACTTTGATGGACTGCATAAAAAAAATGGTACACAGGTCAACCTTAATGCCACTTTGGACAGGTGAAGATGGCTGACGCTTGCACAATGACCCAAGCCCAAGTGGGGGAGGGAGGAGAGAGGAGAAGCAGAAGATGACATGGTATATGGGGCAGATCATTTACATAAAATATACACACACCGTCAAAAACTAAAGCCTCTCCAATTGTTGTGTGGCAGCCCTTATGATATTTTATGTTGCAAGACCATCTCTTTTTTAAAAAAGAACGAAATATTCATAGGAAACTGATGATGATGATTGATGATGAAGAAATACTTTTCCTTTTAAGAGTAACTAAGGTCAATGTTAAACAGCTGCTACTAACGCTAGATTTTATCAGCGCATCTGAACAACTTGCGTTCAAGAGTTTTAAAAGAACCGATCAAGGAGCTTTCTGAACTGTTAATGTTGATTTTCATTAAATCATGGAATACTAGGTATATTACATTTAAAGAGGGCAAATGGTAATTATAGGCCTGTCAGCCTAAACTTGATCCTTATGAAAATAATGGAATGGCTGATATGGGATTTACTAAAAGAATTAATGGAGGGTGATGTAATCAAAGCCATTCAGCATGGGAGACAGATCTTCTATGCTGATTTTGTTTTTATGAGATTACAAATGTTGTTAACGGCAATAGGGTTGATGTAATAATTTCTGTAAGGCATTTGCCATTTTGATCAACAAATCAGAATGATACAAAATCACTGTGTCACACAAACAAATTTAAAACTGGCAGACTATAGGGCTCAAACCACAACTGTAAAAAAGGAATCATTTGAATGGGTGGTTTGTAGTGGTGTTCCAGAGGGACTAGTTTATTGGCCCCATGCTAGTTAACATTTTAATCAGTAACCTGAAATAAAATAAAAAATCATTACTGAAGAGCAGAGACTCTGAAAAGGACTGGTAGATCATGGTAAGTAATCAGCTGAACTCGAGCTTGAGTGTGATGCTGTGGCCAAAAGGGCTATAGTGTTCCCTGGAACAGAGGTTATATTATCTCTATTTGTCACTGGTGTGACCTGTACTGGAATACTGTGTTCACAGTTCCAGAAGGATACTGATAAACTGGAGAAGGTTAAGAGACTATGCAAGTGATTAAAGGATTGGAAAACATGCCTTGTAATGAAAGACTCAAGAGGTATATCCACATAGCCTGCAACATAGAGTTCAATCTGTTGAGTTTAACATAGAAAAGATAACGGGTGACTTGATCAGTTGCTGAAAGTACTTACATGGGGGAAATAAATTTGATAATAGATGAGCCTCTTTAGTCAAAGATAGTCGGTCATTGGAATAATTTACCACAGGTTTTGATGAGCGCTTAATCACTGGAAATTTTGAAGTCAAGAGTGACTGTTTTTCTAAGACATATGCTCTAGTTCAAATAGGAATTAATTCAGGAACAGATTATATTACTAGTGTGGTCTTTTCTGGCCTAATAATCTATGGATTTATAGATATATTTTATTGCTATCAAAAACACAAATTAAAGAAGAAAACTATAAAACCTGTTTCAACAATCTGAATGAAGCACTCAACAGGTCATTCCTTTACGCAAGACATTGCTATTTTGGGAGAGAGGAAGAATCAACCAAGTGCATGATCTGATTGTCTGAATAGTCTTACGTTCTTTATAATTATCATTAAATGCTGCCTGAGGAACAAGCAATCTAATTTACTGAAAAGAACCCTATATGGTTAGTTAACATTTAAAATATAAATCAAGTGGGTTCCAAACCAAATCTCCATCCAAAATCCCTTGAACTTTGGGATGCTCAGAAGACAGATCTGGAAATTGGGCTTTAGCCTATTGCTATAATTAACAGTGGTGAGACCGAAGAATGAAAGATAAGATTAGCCAAATAAACATACTTACTAGCTTTATACTGCTGCAAATATTGGACTTAAATATAATTGAGGTCACATGCAAAATACATTTGATTTCTTCTAACTGCCTTTCATTAGTAGTGATGTCTCAATTTTAGACAAATTTATTTCTAACCTCACAAACCTATTATCCCACATATATTTGCAGATGATTTCACCAGAAATAATTTATGTAAATGAGGTGACAGGAAATGTTATTGATGCTGAAGAAATGAATCTCAGAGGATGTTAAGCTCATTGCATTATAATACATCTTGTGATTCCATTGTATGACACAGTCCCAAAATGTGTTCTGTATTTTGACTTTGGCAGGTTGAGAAGTAAGGTTTGATAATCTATCCCTAGTTCCTTAATGCACATTTTCCCACATTACAAAAGCACCAGGGAATTTCCTGTACTAGGCAGAATCTGCCTCTCAGTTATCTGGGACTTAAAATAGACAACACTGCAAATCGTGTCTGAGTTGCATTGGCAGAGCTATGCAAGGCAGCTCACATCGCACTTGCCTGCACTTTGGCCAGCTGCATGCAATGATATTGCTGCTTGCATTCACGATCACTTACTTCACACAAACTAGAAAAAACAAACCATTACTTTTTTTTGGTATACATCTTTTCTTTCAGAAAAAGTTCTTTTGTCTTGCCATGACTGTCCTTGGCCTTCAAAACTTGAAATATGTCTCTTTCATAAGGACTAGAGAGACATCTGCTTTGTTCACATGTTACTTTTGAACAAAATAAATAATTTCTTTATGTCTCGAAAATAACATCAGTAGTAACAATATTTGGATTGCTCAGTTACCTTGTGTAATCATTTATTGATTCACTAAAAAGTAAAGGGTCCTTGACTTAATCTTGAGCCTTTATAGTTTGACAAGATGGAACCAACAGATGATTTATTACAGTTAAATTATTGACCTTATAACTAGGCTATGCTGCAAAAGCTTGTAGCATGGTTGGTTTCATTAATTATTGGTTAAGTGTTTAATTTCTATACCTTTGAAGATTTTCTGCTGCTAATGAGGTTTGGTTAATTCTCACAGCATTGACAGAAGTTTGTATGTCTTCTCCAGTGTGTTTATTATATTCAAGACCTGAAAAGAGAGAAAAATGAGTTAATATTGTAAGCTGCTGAGTATCATACATTTTAATTATCTCACAAGGCCCATTCATACTGATCTTTTGCAGAGCCAAGTTCAGTCATGTTTAATTACCTCAATGTATCAGAGCCTCAATTAATAAGGTGCCATTGTTAAAATAATTTAAAAAGATAACATTTGCAGTAATTTTTTCTGAATGTCCTGATGCTGCATCTTCATTCCTCAAGTAGATACCAATGCACAGCTACAAAGGCACCACATTGGCTGACTGGACTTCCAGTTGAGAAAAATCAATAAGGTAGATTGCACTGAGATTCATGAGAGCCATTCATAGACAGATATGAACTATACGGCATTTATTTGTAAACATTATTTTGATAATTAAGTTTTCAATATGCAGTGTAATTTTACTAATGTATATAATTTCAGATTCATACAGTCATAGCATTCTCTAGCTATTTCTCTGCAAAAACGTACCATACAGGGCATCCGACTATAAGTCGCCCTGGTATACATCCGTTCCGCTCTAAAGTTGTTGATACTTGTAGGAGGTGATGCATTATAAGTCTTCCCATTCCCTGCTCTTAAGCTGTGCAAAAATAACCCCCACAATTTGTGCAAATGGAAGTCAGCCACGGGGCGGAAAAAAATTCCCCGCTTTAAGTTGTTTCACTATAAGTTCAAGTTTTTTGGAACATATCTTGGACTTACAGTGAGGACAGCCTGCAATTGCTATCAACTGTTGCAAGTTATCTGGCAATATCACCAAGACATTTATTTTTACTAATTCCACTACAATGAGTACTAGTACAGGATAAATTATAAATAACTCTAAAATCTTTAGAAGTAAAAATGGAAAAACCTCATAGAAAATGCCCATTGAAATAACAAAATTATATCCTTGCTATTTTAGAGGTTTTTTGGATCACCCTTTGCAGCTTAATGGAAAGTTATAACCTTGTTGTATAATTCTAAGGAATAGCTCCAAATACCAGAGATATCAATTTCTATTACTCTAATAGCCTGCAGACTACGAATCTGTAGGTCCTTCTTAAATATCCGGTGTCGCCCGGGGAAAGTATAGCAAAAGGTGTGATGAATGAATTACATCAAATACATTAACACAGCATATTTTATTGGAAATACTTTTCTCCTATATATTAGAGAAATTAACATAGCTAGTGATGTGCTTACAAAATGACAAATCCCATAGTGTCTCTTTTCTCAATCCCCACAAATCAGGAAGGTCCAACTTCCCTTAAAGACTTATGCAAACCAATAACTGCAGCCTCCTTGCCAGAACCCCTGAGGAATTGAGGGGATGTTTCCTGGGCTCTGCAGCAGCAGCAAATCACTGCTACCCAAGTAGCCACTCCCCGAGTGCCTTCAGTGCACGCTCCATGGGGCAACCTGAATGGACTTCCTAGCAACAGCTGGACCGGTTGCATTGATCAGACAAATCGAAACAACTTCAGACCAGGTTCAATTAGTGATATCTAGATGATCACGACATGCAGCACCTGAATGTAAGTATTCTAATGAGAACAGGCTGTTCTGAGTGTACCGTGTCCTCTTCAGGCTCCACGGTGCTCAAAACCTTGTCCTACTACCCACCTCCTCTTTGTACTATGAGCTGAATCCTGCAAAGTGCATAATGCCCATGGCACTTGCTGATAACACACACAGCCCTGCCAGGAGAACGCATGCAGCCCAAAGGAGAACGAGTGGTGGGATGGCTCATTTGGGTGGGAGGGGAGGGAAGCAACTATAATTTCCGGAAGAGGTTCAGTCGGAGCCCGACTGCGTGAAGATGTTGAGAGGCTGTGATAGCTGGAGGCTTCTCCCAGCCACAGTTAGCAAGGCTAGATCCCAGCCAGCATCAGCCACATTTGGGTCTGTCCTGGAGACCTGCTGGTGCCCTAGTATAGGGGAGGTTGCTGATTCTCTGCTCCACTGCAGCCTCTCCCCCATGGTCTTTCCCTTGATGCAGGTGCCCACATGCTTTATCCTCTAGGATCTCGTAGTTGCAGTTTACGTGACACGCTTAACAGAAAAGTCCAGCAAATGCCTATGATCAGGCGCTACTAAAAGCTAATTATCAGTGGGCCCAATTGCAGCTCTCAGGGGAACTGATTTCGAGATATAACCAATCTAGTGATTGAAGTTAGGAAATCAGGAGTATCCGTGCAAAATTTTGTGTTTCTATGATCAGGTGCTGCTAAAAGCTAATTAGCAGTGAGCCCAATTGGAGCTCTGGAGAAACCGGGGGAACCAATTTCAAGATCAAACCAATACAGTTATTTAAGTTAGGAAATCAGTAGTATCTGTGCAAATTTTGGTGTTTCTAGCTCCTATTGTTTCGGAGACCTATCGTTTCAGAGGTCTTTTGGAATTATCAGTTGGCCCAATTGGGACTTTGGGGGAATTGATTTTGGGAGCTAACCAATCCAGTTATTTAAGTTAGGAAATTAGTAGTATCTATGCAAAATTTGGTGTTTCTAGCTCTTACTGTTTTGGAGATCTTTCGGGACAAAACAAACAAACAAACAAACAAACAATCTTTCAGAAATATTTTTAAGATACTCATTTAATTTTTTTTTGAATTCTCTAGAACATTTCTTATATTCATTTTTTATAGTTGTTAGCTCATTTACTTGATGATTTGCAAAATGTAATAATTTGCAATACATCTACCGCTCATTAAAGCTAACTAGTCTATATTGTTTTTAAACATCTCCAGTAAAGCTACCAATCACAATTTTTCTTTAACTGTGTCCCACATGAAACAGGACTGATCCTTAACACCAGGGCTAAATTTATTATCTGTCTTCTTCCTATTGTAATCAATAATTAATATATATCTACTTTCCTTTTGAGAATTACTGAAAGTCCAAAATATCCTAATTAGGAAAGCTGTTGTTCACTACAAAGATCATAACTCTAAGATTAATACATCTCTGTGGGACCATTATTTCATGTGTAGGAACAAGAAGCCAATCCCTCAGTAGAAAATGGGAAGTTTCCAATTTTCATTGGAAAGAAGGGGAAACAAAATCTCAGAATTTGAAATCAGGTGTCTTGAAGCATATACAGCTGTAATATATTTCCTCAAAATGAAATGTAGCCTGAGCCTCTTTAATGCAGAACAGGTCAGCACAGTGGCACATACAGAGCTTGGCTGATGACTCATCATGTCAGCTAATCAAAAAGGATCATGAATTTTAAAGTGCTGGCTTTTTATATAGCCAAGAGTGTGAAGGTTGGAATAAATTTGAATAAATTGCCAATCTATGGGTACTTAAATTACTTCGTAGTTGTTGTCTAAAACTATCGCACTTGGAAACCTGAAGTTTTGAAATCTTACCTATTTCTTATGAATAAATGTCATTTTACACTGCTTACTTTTTACAATAAGAAAAAAGTATTTGAAAAAAAAGTAAAAAATTTCTGAACAGTAAGGTAAGAAAAGTCTCACTAAGATAAAAAGTTATCATTTGCTAATAATATATTTATTAATTATTATTATTATTAGGATTGTAGTCCAACACTCTAAGGCATCCAGGTTGTCGTATCTGTCAGGAGGTGTTATTGTTATGGACTGCGCTGTAAATTCATCATCAAAGTATCTCGTGTCAATTTCTGAGGTCTGAAAGCTCTATGTATGTGCGATGAACAGCGCACATACATAGGCTTGTTGGCTGCACAGTGACTGCCAGTGATTGGCTTGTCACTGTGCTGTGGGCAGGGGGCGGGTCCGGAGGCAGAAGCGCGGCTCGGCGCAGGCTGAAGAGAAGAGATAAGGTAAGGGGCCTGAATGGAAAGGATAAAATCCTTATGGAAAGCAGGATCTGCCCAGGGATTGTGGAAATATTTTATCCTCTGTGTCGGGGGAATGGTATATGTGGAGAGGGAGTTGCCATCTGCAAGTTTCCCTCAGCTAAAAACACGAAAACAGCTAGGAAGCCGGGACACCTGAGGAAAAGAGCTATGGGGAGCTGATTGAGCTTGGTTGCTGATTGAGCTAAGGTTGTTGTACTTTTAAAGTTACGGTATTTTTGATACCATATTGTTTTTGTTGACCCCCTTTTCCACTTACAGAGCTAGGTTATTGTTTTTCTTTGAAATAAATATTCATGTAATTTTATTGGTATCTATCTTCATTTTTTACATTTATCAGTAGCTGCCTCATTTCCTACCCTAGGCTTATACTCGAGTCAATATTTTTTCCCAGTTCTTTGTGGTAAAATTAGGTGCCTCGGCTTATATTCAGGTCGGCTTATATTCGAGTATATACTGTATGTGCTCGGTGAAGAATTTCACCTTGCTCCATAGAAATCAAGGGAGTTTTGTGGTTAATTTAAATGAGAAAAGGTTTCAGTGTTAAGTGCAAATACATTGATAACAGGATTTGCTTAATGGATCAAAAGGTCTCAGTTTTACACCCCAACAACTTTCTTTGGAGGACTATGTTGATAGTACTCAGTGTGTTACGTTGAAGTGGTTTCCTAAATCCATTACTGCAGATGTAAAACAGAAATACAACAGGACTTCTTTAAATTCTAACTATAAAGTTTGGGGCTAAGTCCATTTCCCAGTCTAGAAAAAATAAACTACACATGCTATTAAATTTTCAAGTAGGTTGTAGCTGTGAAAATCTGTAAAGTCTCCACCTTAAAAGACTAAAGTTCAGAGTCTTAAAAGGGTAACAGACATATATGACACAAAGTATACATTTATAAAGCCACCAGAGGGAAAAATTTTATACAATCTTTGCTCTCTTTTCTCAAAAGGATTAGGTTTCTAATTTTTTTTTTTTTTTTTTTTTTTTTGTTTTGGTCTGGAACCTAATATAAGGTAAGTAAGAAAATGTTAACATGATATTTAAGACAATCAGAAAAACATGATATATTTGTGATTTCTAATCGAAACACATTTGAACATTTTGTTCACCATTAAGGTTATACATAGGCACAAACAGTCACTGAAGAGTTTTT